CTTTTGAATATGGCTCACCACTCGCCCCTCTATCTTTGACGAACATGAAATTGATGCTGAAACTTGCTCAACGCCTGGCGTGAGTACAGACCAAAATTGATTTACGTATATATGATTATTACCATGATATGCATATATACATGACCGCGATGAACAAATTACCATCTCCCTTTTACGAATGTTCTGTTAAAACATGTGTTACAATGAAAATGGTATACATGATCAAAATTCCACTGATGCAATAAATATTAAGTAATACACTTCAAAATTTGGGTAGAGGCTGACATTATCACTGAATTGGCATGCAATCTGCAAGTAACAAGGATTATGATCAACATAAAATTGCTCAATTTGATAAAGAGAAAAATGAAGAATGAATTTATAGAGCAAACTATCCCCTCCATTTACGGAGATTCCAAACCATACGTGTCAACATAATTCCATTAATGGTTATAAGCGTGATTAAAAATATGATAGGTATTTGACAGAAATCACAATCACATTGAACACAGGTTAAAATTATGAATATCTTTCAGAAACAATAATAATATATGGAATTACTGTATCAAAGTGAATTTGAATCATCTTCTTGGGAGTCATATTCTTGGGAGTCATCTTCATCCCCATCTTCCTCCTGCATATGTATTAATTTCGTGATTATCTCCTCCTGGGCTCCGAGTTCAGTGACAGCTTCCCCTAATGACTTCCGCAATTCTTTCACTTCAGTTTCTAGACTATTCAACTGCTCCTTGAGTCCATCAAACATCTCAACCTTTTCCTCGAGGAACCCCACCGAACGTTGAAGTCTGTGGATTGTGTCATCTGTTGAAAATTGCACCAGTTTCAACCGCATCATCTTGTAGGACTCAAAGATGAGACATACATACCTTGTTTGTTTTGTTTGTGTTGTATGCTAGCTACATCATCAAGCCTGGACTGTTCACTCGTGTCAACCTGGGATTTGAGACTCTCTATGACGTTGTTGAGATACGCGACTTTGTTCAATTGTACTTGTGAGCTTGAGACAAGAAGCGATACTTTCTGCATGACGATGATGTTCACTGACCTTTTTGTCCATGTTCTCTTTCTTTCAGAAAAACATCCACGCCAGAAACAATTGGGCCATTGTTTGTAATCGGAGGTACGTCTTGTCCAACCGCTAAAATCGGATGATACAAAGTCAGCAATTGAAATAGACCATATGACGTATGACTGCAGCTTACTTGTATTTTCGGTCTCAAACCAATCGCGGTCAGCAAACTCCATCAAGTCTCTTGGCTGAGTTGTTGTCCCGCCCTCCAAAATGTCATTGTTGTCTGCACCCAAGTCGATGAGAGTATTTGATTGAAGTTCAGAGGATCCACGTGCAGAATTTGGAGGAGTTTGAAGTTTTTTCTTGTGAGAGGGCAAGATGGCTGGATTGATGTAAGATTGTCCGTATTTGGGACTGGGGGACAAATCGCTTGGATCCGATTTTGACTGCTTATGACGAGCTTCAGAACTGTCTGAAGTTGTTTCCAATTTCACATTTGGAGTGGAGTCTGGAAAAGCTGCAGCCGGGATGAACGTTACTTTTTTTTTTATCTTACCAGAGTCATCGGTGCTATTTACAACACTTTGAGTGCCTGTATGTTTAAGAGGCATTAAGTGTTAGATCATGACAGTGTGATGGCGATTCTGTAGATCACTGTACCTGATAGAACCCTCTTTTTTGATTGACGGTTGGTCTCACCTGACACCGATCGCTTTCCTAAGTGAACTTTCCCCCCGGGAACGATTTCAAGTTTTCTTTTCGAGGCAAGCTGTGGGTCGGTCAAAGGCTGTTGAATTGATGCAGAGCAAACTGTAGAACTTGATGAAATATGAGTCTCGTGCCGATTTTTCTTGCTTATTCGGATGCCTGCTTTGGTCGGTTTGAGATCACTCGGCTCTGGTAGGCTGGTAGTGGTGGAGACATGATGCTGGATGTGGTTGGCTGAAATTTGGGCATTTGGAAATTCTGACCAGCAAGGTGGTCAGCGAAATTCTACACATCTAAATCGTTGATTGGAAACCACAAGTACTGACTCTCAGGCTGCACTCTCCGTACTATCTGGGCTATCTCGCCTTTGTTTAATCCAGTACGTATCGTCTCCATTGGATGGTTAATACGCAGCCAATCAAGCATCGTCTGCTTTCCAACCCCCGGTGCATCCGGGTCAAGCGTGCACATGGCGAAAGATGTACACGACGGGACCTTTGCGAATCGCCAAGATTACTGTTCAAACGTGTGGTATGAGAAGTTGTCAGCCTATGTAGATTTGTACAGTGATTTCAGGTTCGATTTATGAGCAGAAAGCTAGCAAACCACAGAGAGGAGTGTACAAGAATGAAATGAAGATATAGATTGATAAACCTCAGTCGATCAGAGTGGTGAAAATGGATTAAATATATGTTCTATTTTCAGTTCTTCGTGAAATTCTGCCTTCAGGATGAGGGACCAAACTCATACTGGGGAAGACTATCGTACTGTGGTACACACTGCAAATATAATGTGTTTCTCCAAAGTGAAAAATGATTGCACTTAATGCACAAAATGATTAATAATGCAGATTTAATGCAGAAAAATGCAGATTTAATGTAGATTTAATGCACTTTTAATCATTTTTTGAATTAAATGTAATCATTTTTCACCGCGGAGAAACACATTATATTTGCAGTGACACGTGAGGAGATTCTTACAGCTGTGCTGTCAGCTGAGTTTCATACAGTCTACCACTTTGAATCTTTGATGACTTGGTGCAATAACCGTACTGATCATCATCATCGGACATATTTTTCTCTAGAGGTGGGGTCAGCCCACATATTTCTCTCTAGAAGTGAGGCAGAAGATTGTGGCGGAGTTTATGGAAACTTTGAACTTCATGATGGAATGGAAGAACTTCAAAGAGGCGTAATTCTTGAAGCATGAGTCTCTAGACTGCTGTTCGTTACTTTTGAAACTATTATCAGATGGAACAAACAAATGAGAGATGAAATATTATCACATGACATATAAGTTTCGAAACATCTCATTTGAAAGAAGCTCAAAGATGTTTGAAGTGCTCATCCTCAATCAATTCATGTAGTCAACAATGGGGTAACAGTACATAGTTTTTGTACTCGTAAGTCGGGTTTGAAACTCATTAATCATAATCAAGCTCAGTTGTTGATCAAAAACTGAAAACAAAACATGGAAAAGATGCGCTTTATATGATTATGATCATGAATGTGATTGAAATTACAAGACGCTGAACATTTGCCTTATGCATATCACTCTTATATTGGAAATAGTCACTTGCAATAGCTGACTAGGGTAACGACGAGGTAGGGTTAGACGCCGGTGCAGTGGGTTCGGACGCCGATCCAGCTTCAGCATCCTCGAAATCACAGGTGCGTTTGCTAGTTCCGTGGGATGAGAATACAGTATCATGTGAGTCAGCATACTTATCATCATGAGCTTCGATGTCATGAGTATATTTAGTAAAACTCCGTACTCACGTCTCTTTAGAAAGGATTGCTCCAAGTACCCCAAGCTCTTTGTTGTAACGTTTGAATGTGTGCATAAAGTGCTTATATTGCGCCCGCAAACTCTTGAGTTGCGCCTTGAATAACTTACGGTGGACAGAAACCTCAGGGTCTCTCACCTTCAACAGCATCTGAGTGTAAGCGATTATATGTTGAGAACCACATAGGGTAGAAGTGATGTCATGGATGTTGTCAATTAAAACATTGGTCGCGTCGGTTATTATGCCAAGTTCATCGGTGTTGAGAAAGTTATATTCCTCTACATGTCGATCAATGTTTTGAGGGACAAAATGAAAGTTCCCTTGATCAAGGAGGGTTCCGACAAAGCTGTTAAACTTCCTGGTGCGCTCTGGTGAATTTTGTTGTGCCAGGGGTGAGATTGGTACTCGATCATGGAAAGCCATGGCTCGCAGCTGAGGCAAGAAGTTGTCGGGCGATAAGCCATCGATCAGGACTGGTGGGAACATTGCGGCGTCCTGGGTTCCTGAACGTATCGTCAGAATTCTGGTGGATCAGGAAAAACAGAGAGATTGAAAATACGGACTTATGGTTATGAGGATGAATAAATTGGACAACAACTAGCACTGGAGGTATTTCTGATCAACTGATCCGCGAGGTTGGGGTGATTTCTTCTGACTTTGATCAGAACCTACATATAGTATCACTACACCAAATGTAATCTTTACCGGGCGGTAAAGAAAACTACTGACATAGAAAAGTCCTGAGGCAACAGGAAGAGGGCTAAAAATCTGAAAAAATATGCACCTTGTTCCTAGATGTTGGGGCGTCATGATGAGTATTTTTTTGTATTTTACACACGGATATTGGTTAATGTACTAACAATAAAGGCTGAGAATCATCAAAAACCCACCTGTAACAATACCTGAAATTTGGCCCTTGATTTTGAAGACAGGATTTTGGAATCTTCAAACATCAATAACTTTCGCAGTTCTGAATCAAATCACTCGATTTGAAGTGCATTAAAAAGGTGAGCCTTTCCTCTACATTTTTCATTGAGACATCACATCTGTAGCTGGTCTAAAAAAGATCCTACAGAGCTATTCATGCAGAACTGTTTGAACATATGTAGAGTGTTTAAATGACTAGATAGAACCTTACTGACATTATGAAGTGTGAAGGAGAATAGTTCAGCTTTTGAATGAACCAAAAATCGAGTTATTTGGAGCAGAATTGCAAAAGTTATTGAAGTTTTTAGACCACAAAATATTGTCTTCATACTCATGACCCAAATTTCAGGTATTGTTACATGTGCGTTTTTGATGATTTTCAGCGTTTGTTGTTAGTACATAAACCAATATCTGTGTGTAAAATACAAAAAAATACTCATCATGACGCCCCAACATCTAGGAACAAGGTGCATATTTTTTCAGATTTTTAGCTCTCTTCCTGTTGCCTCAGGACTTTTCTATGTCAGTAGTTTTCTTTACCGCCCGGTAAAGATTACATTTGGTGTAGTGATACTATATGTAGGTTCTGATCAAAGTCAGAAGAAATCACCCCAACCTCGCGGATCAGTTGATCAGAAATACCTCCAGTGCTAGTTGTTGTCCAATTTATTCATCCTCATAACCATAAGTCCGTATTTTCAATCTCAAAGCTTATCTCAGTTTACCACCACCCTACTTTTTCTCCAAGTCCTCAATTTTCAAAATTCAGCCTTGTTCAAGCCCATAATGAAAAACCCATAAACTCCTGTATACCTTAATAACACCATGTAAAACCCATAATTTTAGAAATTTCCACTTAACACCTATGTACTCTACATAACCCATACACCCTTAACTAACCCATATGTCCTAAACCCATAAAATAAAAAATAGAATATAAAAATCATAATAAAAATTAAAATTAAAATTAAAAATTAAAGAAATTAAAAAATTAAAAATTAAAATAATAATAATAAACAATAATAATAATTTTAGAAATTAAAAATTGAAATAGAAATCATACTAAATAATAAAAATAATAAAATAAGATATAAAAAATAAAATTGAATCAATAATAATTGGTTTGGTAATAATATAATAAAAAATAAAATTAATAAAATAAAATTATAATAATAATGATAAAAATTAAATCTACATTTAAACTATAGTTTTGATTACCACAACAGTCGGCTAATCTTGATTCAAAGCCTATATCCCCTTGACCGTCTTCAATAAACTATGGCTGATCCAAGACCAACACACTTGGGGAGGGAAGGAGGCCCCGTCGGAATCAAAGATTGCAAAAGGCGGGGCATTGATCCAAATCTATAGTGGAGATCCCCCAATGGATGAACTTACCATCCAATATGAACAATGGCTTGACTGTATGACTCTGTTCATTAGATACGTCAAGAATGCAGGTGGGAACATGCAGAGTAAATGTTTCAAACAGCATGAATCGAATGTGATCAAATTACGGGAGAACGTGGGTTGGATGGCCGCTCTACGGTATTGTCATAATGTGAGACAAGGTGTGATGAGGATGACGGTGGGGAAAGAGATTTGTAACATCTTGGAGGTGCAAGAGATGCCGCTTCAAGAAGCCAAGCAAGAGTGCGAGAATTATGGAGAGCGAGCGTACCTGAAAAATCCTTACGCTCCCAGTGGACCAAGGGATCATCTAAACCCAGAAACCGGCCTCCCAACCTCAGTGGCATCGTCCAAGCGGGCATCCACCTCACCAACCCCTTTCACAAAGGCAGAATCCAGCACGTCTGGATACCGAAGAGAGTCGAGAGGTTTGGGGAAAGAACTGTGGGTACCGTTTCCTCAGTACAAAGCTTGAATGATAGCGGAGGGGAAATGGACCGGTGATGGTTGCCGAGAGGAGTGTGGAAGGCTGAGCCGTTGGGAGGAGGAGAGACGATATGATCGGAAGACAGAATGTACACGTAGTTGTAGCCCAGATCGTGACCCAAAGTACGGGATGCCAAAGTATGGCAGGAGCAAATACCAGTGAGTATGATGTAGCCGTTTACAGGAAGCTGTAATGAAATCAACAATTCTTGTCCAGCAAGAATGATGAAGAGGACTTACTACATCGGGTTGAAAGAAATGTGCCCTGACGTGAGAATCTTGTGTTTTTCCCCATTTTTCTTCCACCCCTGTCTAGAGCAAAGGCAGATTCTTGCAAGGATGACCATGGCATGAGTCAGACACCCTTGTTGCCATCGACAAAACCGGGGAACCCTCCGATTCCCCATGTGCCACCAACACAAAGTCCACCTGTAAGAGGTAAAACACCAGAGGTGATGAGGCCAAAATGGCCAATCGAGTTAGATGTGAAATGAACTTACAGGTATGGGTAGACAAGCTAAGGAAAGCTGGGATTTTAGAACAATTGTGCCATATCATGAAAGGTTTCAAAAGTGGGTTCAACCAAGGCATTCCAGAGGTCGCCATAAAAGGCATGGTCTACTATTGTCCTCAAAATCATTCATCTGCATTAGAAGCAAAAGAAGAGATAGAGAAGAGTTTTGAAAAAGAAGTGGATGCCGGTCGGATGTTTGGACCGTTCTCAAAAGAGTGTATGAGCGTTTTGGTTTCTTTTGGACAAGCCCTCTGGTTCTGTGACAAACGGGGACTGGTCTTTACGGCCTATAATGTTGTGATACTGAGCATACCACGTTTTTCTATTTTGTCTTATTCGTCAAATCAAATCATCTACAAATTAAACATCAAGGACTTGTGGTGTGAGATGTGAAGTCTGGGCTTTCTCTAACGTGTCTCCTAACAACTGACGATTTTAGTAATGAGGTTATGTAACAATTGCAAATCAAGATGAGGTGGCAGTGATGGAAAGGGGTCTTTATGTTTCTTTTTCTGCTTTGGGAATAAGTCGTGTGTGACTTGAATTTCATTTTCTTTTATTTCTTTTACGTAAGTCCGCTTTTCCGTTTGCCTGAAAAACTAGTTATAAATCATGTGTTGATGACAAACAGATTCTTTTCCTTTATCAAAAAGAATCTGTAAGTTTTTCTTCATTCAAGTTTTTTGTTAACAATCCCGGTCTGACCAATACCCATTATAGTTTTACTTTTTAATATCTTTACTCATCCTTTTTGCCCATGAAACCTGGTCTCGAACCCTGTTGCTTGAGCACAGGTTTGTTCTTTTCTCTATAGTTATACGTTTCTATTTCTTCTATCTACTAACACTTGTGGCGTGCTAGGTTTGTCTCAACTTTTATAGCTCTTTGTTAGCAGAGTGAGGCTTGACAACATATTGAAGGATATAACTGGGTAGGAACATGTGGGTTTGGACTGGAGTCAACATGATGAAGGTAAGGAATATAAATGATTGGAGAATTGGCAGCCTTGCTTACTTATATGAGGCTAGAAACTTCAGGTATTTAGCAAAGCCTTGATTGGGATGCATGATCATGCAATCTATGCAGTGTACGTAGAAAGTGAAAACATAAGAAGGGAAGTATGGAAGAGAAGTAATTAGTGACTAATTGTCAATCTCCAATATTAGTAAATAAATTGAAGGAGTAAACCGTTTTCCTCACAAACGTTCTGGTATTGAGATTGTACCCTCAGTGTCACTGAGATTCAAAATCTAATAGATGAATCCCCACAACATGTGTATTTCTAACAAATTCCCCTTTGAAAATATGCACAAGCTTGGTGATCATACCAAATAGTCATGTATCAGGACAAACTTTGTCCCGCCAGACAAAGTTTTGCAATCATCATAGATCCATGATTAACCAAGCAGCATTCAAAATCATAGATCCTTCAGCAGTTTTCACCTCCACCTCAAATTTCTTGGTCACATTTTTTATAACCATTCTGATAACATTTGTTTTCTGTACCTTGAGCTGGATCACGGATTTCTAGATCTGGTGATTGGTGGTGCAAAAAACAAAGTACTTATCTATCTATCAATTAACCCTGTTATTGATCCTTGGAAACTTGACATTTTTGCTTCTCAACACTGATTATAACTATATATATATCACCTTGTTTGTAATCTTTGAGCTAGACAGCCAGTTCCACACCTTCTTGAGTATTCACCATTTCCCTCCAATTGAAAATGCCAGGGAATGGAAGCAAATCAACGCCTGTGACTTCCAAAGTTAGTAAACTCAAGCTCAGTGGTAGTACAACTAATGAAAAGCCAAACGTGAACTTGGTATCAGTCCATGGGGAGATCACCTCAACAAAAGATCCAAATTCATCACGCCAACTGTCTAGCCCTTCACCATCACCAATGGGTACTACCAGCTTTTCTGCACTGCATACTGTCACCAATCATAATAGGGCAGTTCAAGTTTGAAAAAGCACTAAAGCAGAACTGTGCCTACAGCAAAATGCTGCTTATAATTGTTGAAAGTTTGAACAACTCTGAGAAAGCCCTAAGAGCGTCAATCCAAACCAAACAAGGCTAAATGTGAGTTTTATTGATCTTTCTATAAGTCTTACTTATGTCAATGGTTACTTCCAGCAGCTAAACTTGTGTTGTGACACTCCACCGGATGCAGGACTTTGTCAAGTGTACTGTGATTTTTGAAGCAATCAGTCGAATGTTTCCAGGTTTTCATATGAAAGTATCCTGGTTCAAATCTAGCATGAGTTGGCCAAAACAAAGCTGCCAAGAAGCTTTTCTGTATCATCTTGGGCTGATAGCGGCCCTCTTCTGGATGAATCAATTGTATCATTAGGAATTGTAATGGATCCAAGTGATGTTTGTACAGATGTGTAAGGGTTGCTCCATTGTAGCTCAAAGGTGAAGCTGTGTGCTATCAAACGTGTTTTATTTGCAGATACAGATCTTGCAGTTATGTTTTATGTATCTACTCATTTTCCATATAAATTTGTGTAGTTTACTTTATTTGTGAGCTGGACTAGTATACATCTGTAAACATGCACCTTTTTTCTGGCTGGATCTATCAATCACACTAATGAGCTAAATGCAAGACTTATCAAACTATTTTATATTTATTTTGATGTTACATATTGGTTTTCCCAATTTTTATAAAAATTCCATCAGATTGGTAACAAGGTTTCTAACTAGGGACATCAAGATCTTGTTTTTGATCTTTTCTACCTTTGAATATATGATGTAATCATAGTTCTTGAATCATGTATCATCTGTTTTGAATACTGCTACCACCAGCACTTGATTTCCACTCGACTTTCTCCCAATTGTGATTTTTGGCAGTATTTTGTTGGAAAATCTCTTAACTTCAATCATACCTCTTCAAAACTCCCCTATCTGAATACTATCTGGGAGAAGAATAAAATAAAAATAAAAATTCAACGTTGATCATAGGAGCGTTATCTGCTAGTGCAAAACTGCTGGCTGCTACAAGGGCTTTCATATCAATGCCCACAGTGTTTCTAAGCAAGGTGTGGAAGTTCTTCCTGCCACAATGCATTCAAGCAGCAGCTGCTTCAAGTGGTGAAGATCCTCCAATGGCAGATCAATTCCCACCTAATACCAATGATGAAGATATATTGATATCTGATATGAATCGCCTGGCTGTAAGCTCGGAGTTGCAAAGTCAGCCTGCAATATCTCAATTTTTGGAACAAGAAGCAGATGAGAGGCAGACTACTGACACTGAGGTTCTGAAACTGACTGAAAATGCAAGAAAAAGACAAATGCACAAGTTTTATTGTAGTATGTTGTTCATATATATATTTCATAGTGTTTAATTCTAATAAGGAAACCTGGGCAACTTTGCCTAACCAATTTTCTTGCTGAGAAATCTACTAGGCCGTCTCCACAAATCATGGTCAAACTCTTTGGAAAACAGAATTGAAAAAAACCTTGCACTTACCTCTTCATGAGTGTTTGTACATGTGTTGTGAGATTTTTTCTTATCACTTTAATTCCTTCTTTCCCTGTTGGATCACCTGTGTACTCTCCCAATTCAGCAAGCTTTACAAAGACCTTTAGCGCCAACTCCCATCGCCACTTGTTAGAATTTGATGTTGCGGCTTCAGAGAAATCCGGCCAAAAGCATGTCAGACCTACAGCTTTCATCATCTGCAACATGATTGAGAGTTGTTCAGGGGTGGCAGTTGGGTGACCAGAACCGCCCTTGCAAAGAAAGCCAGGATCTTCCCCTTGAGTGTGGGAAGGGTGCGGTTCAAGATCTATATTGAATTCAACCTTGTCTAATAATCTATCAGCCATCCACGTACTATGGTCTTGCAAGCTGGCAGGTCTTGGGAGCGCTTTATTGTTGCCCATCCCTAGAAGAGTCTCCACATGGAACCAAGGAGGAGCCTGCCGATATTGGAAGGTAGATAAAATCAGGTGGGAGCTCCAAATGAAAGCTGTGCCACAAATATCTCACTGCAATTTGCCCGCCAACAGTATGATCTTCTTTTTTGTGTGAGTCACGTTCTGTAACCAACTTCTTCACTGAACTTGAGATTGTTCTAAAGTCGCTTTTGAGTACTTCCAGTCTTTCTTAAGTCTCCAATAGCAGCCTCGTCAATGATGCGACTGTTTCAGTTTGATCACAAGTTGCACAATTTGGGCATGGACTTTGTTGAGTTGTATCCTGACTTGGATCACCTTGAGGACCTAATTTCTTGGTATGTTCCTTGGGTTTTTAGTCTTTGGATTGGGCTATTTTGCAGGGGTTTTTTGTGTCATTATTAATTCTACAAGTCAGGCTATGTCAAAGTAAAACAGTTTCACTTACATCATCTACTTCCAAAACTCCCTCCGAGGTGGCCGAAAGGTCTCAAACACTCTGTGGAACCCAATCTTTATCTGTGTGATCTGCTGCCTTTTCTTTTCCTTTTTGCTCTTCTGGTCTTGTGTATAATGGGAAAGTCGGTGCTGGACCAGGGAAATCAAAACGCCGGTGTTCAACACTAGGAAGGCTGATGGATGAAGGACAGACTGCTGTAACATTTTGGAATACAGTCAACACAAGAATTACATCACAAGTACTTCAGATGGTGAAAAAGGGAACTGATGTTGTGCTGATGTTGAAGCAACAGTGTGAGGTACCAAAACTGAGAATTCGGGAATTGTAACTACTCAAAGCATATCTCAGTTGTCAATTGTGAGTGGAAAAGTGATACTAATCACATAGTCAAATCATTGTGTGTCTTGCACAATTTTATAAGTGCCTCTTTGTTTAGGCTTCCTGTATCCATCCCCACATGTGGTGGTAGCATGGCAACCAGCTGCGACTTGTGAAAGAATGAGGAATCGGTGGTATCTTTGTTCCCATCTGAAATTGTGCACGGAGTAACAGTGTCATCTTTTGGTTTTTCAGCAGTTGAGGCTAAGCTTTGGGTGGTCCTTTTAGACTGACTGATTTTTTGGTGTTTCCTGCGTAAAACAAGGCCTTTTGAAAGGTTTGAGACAGAGGGAGAGTAGATTGAGCAACCTTTTGCAAGACGTCATTTGATTCCCGGGAACATCAGCATCCTGATGATCAAGAGGTTCTCCGGTCCCCGGCAATTGGTGTGGATTGGCTACAGGGCGGATAGACAACCATACACAACTTGTTCAGCACATCAAAATAGCATGGATTTGAGATTCCTTCTTCCTCTTCCTCTTTTTTTTCGATAATTCCTGATCAGATAGGTTGTTTTTGGCGCTTCCCGCAGGCTCTGCAATGACCCGATGTTGGCTGCACGGCCTAGGTCTTGTTCCAGATGTTGCAGGCATCAAATTATATTTTGAAAATTGACAGTCTGTGAGTTAAGATTGGCCAAGGAGTTTTGATGATAATAACAATGGTGAATACACGGACCAGCTGCAAGCAGAAGGAATTGAAGATAAGATGAACCATGGTGTGTAAAGAGACACCTTTGACAAGCAGATTCACAGTTCAATGATTGAAATTATAGCAGGTCACAAAGCAGATAGTAGTGATCCTCTCAAAGATTTGTGATTGAATGGAAATGACCTATAAATTATTTGCGCATGAGTAATGAAAATGTCTTTCAAAGAATTCATAAATAACATGTACAACTTTAAAAAGAAAGGAGATCCATTGTTGATGTAGATCAAAGAATCAATTGTTCCGTCTCCTAGTACAGGTCTACTACACCCATGAGGGAGTGTTGTCTAGACAACATCATGGTATACACAATCCCAACTTTTGGCCACTTTGGGCAAGTCAGAAAATTCAATTGTGGGCTACAACTTTGTACAATGATTTTTTTGTGCTACAATCAAAAGATACCGCTGTAGAAAAGACAAAAACCATCATAGTGTTTTCTTCTCTACATAGCCTTTGTGTAAAGCGACTTGAACTGGAGTTCCTCATCCTGTTCTAATTTTTTTTCCACGGCAGACTGAAGCCAGAAAATGTTTCATGCACAAATTTGGAAAACCTTTTGATTTTTGTTCAGATTGAGCTACTCATCAATTGATTGGCAGTGCTTGTGATGATGATTTGCATGCATAATTATGGCTACAAACCTCTTCTGCTTGGCCTCACTTACACAAGAGAACCCCAACAGCCCAGACTGGCTCCTTCCAAACCTCAAAGCTACAACATCCTACATATATTATATCAATTCTTTGTTCTTGAATTAAATGATGGTATTCCAGTGTGTGGAAAACCAAGCAAACTAGTTATGTGAATCTCAAGACTCACACACAACATCATGAGACAATCTTGGAATACAAATCAAGACAACCTATGCAGATACTTTTGCTATATAATCAAACCATGTAATTTGCAGGAAGGATACGCTCTGATACAAGATACAAGAGGAGCCACATCACAAAATCACATTCTAAGTAGCTCTCAACTTGGTGTATCAGTGTACCTACCAATCAAATGTTTGAATTGTAAAAATGTGAAACTCAAAAGGAAAAAATTGCCACTAATGCTGATCGTACTGGATCTATCAAGAAGGGAACAGTCTTGAGAAGAGCAAGGGAGGACAATCTAAAGAAGTTCAAAGCATTTTGAAGGTGAAGGGGTTGCTTTTTTCAACGTCGCAAATAAAGAAATCAGAAAAGTATCACATTATGTATATAGTCTCTTCAACCATTGACTTGGCACAGATAGACTGCTCAAGACTGCTCACTGCCCAAGCTAGACTCAACTTAACTTTGGTTATCATCAGCTCCTCTATCATCACTATTGGTTTTTGTAAACAGATTAATCAAAACCTTGTTGTGAGGTTCGATGTCAGCAGCTGCTTTTGCCAAAGCTGAACGCAATTGTCGGACTGCCGCTTTGAGGCCTTTGATTTCCTTTTTGATGTCATCCTTTAAGACTTCAATGTCCTTTTGAGCATCCTCTTTGAGTCGCATCATGTGTGTTCTTGGCTCTCGCTGAAACAACCCAATTTGTTTTCTAATTTATTGACACACTTCTCCAGTGCATATACTATGGAAAGTTTGTGATATGGTGTCAACTCCTACAGATGAGATTGAATGATACAATGATTAAGTTTTCTCCCCTTGAGAGACAATTTGCATCTTTTGTCTTGAAAGACTTCAATACCTGATCTCTTATTATTACCCAATACAAAGAGATCATCTACAGATAGCAATGATTTGGTGTCTGGAGAAATGGGTGACAAAAAACAGTCAGATTGGTCCAGATACGGAGACAATATCAATAGACAAACTAATGCCTTTGCCTTCAAACAAGTCCACATCTGTAAAAGCTATGAAGTCGTCTGTAGATTATTTGGTGGGCTGTCCTGCGCACGGTTTGATATCTTCTGGGGTTGCGGACAGGAGCTTTCCTTCTTGCTGACTCCCAGGGGGATAACACGGTGGACTGGAATTGACTATAGGAACGGACAATAGACTTGGAGATATAAATGTTGATTTCTTTACATAACCAGTGTTACCTGGGGATTTCTGATCAACTCGGACAAGAGGTTTTGGACTGCTTTTAGTATGTAAGTGACGTGTACGTACTTAGACTGGATTTTTTCTGTGATGTCCGCTACTAGGCAGTGTGTGTATAATAAGTAGAATTAAGAGCGGTGATGGAAGGTGCAAAAAAGGGAGACAGCCAATCTACCACTCAATTTACATGACCGGACTCATCAGCTTTGACATGGTTCTTAGGATGAGAGCTGGGAGATTCTGGGTTGGATTCAAAGTGGACAACCTGCAATCCGAAAGAAACCAGAAAGAAGAAAGTGAGTGCAAGATCTTCCAAATACATGCTTAGTATAGTCTAGATGAAGACTCATGATAGACTAGCCTGTCTCTTTGTTACCTTAGAGTGGTTTGATGTAATCCAAGGGTTTTCATTGAAGGAGTGGAGTCTTGACAACACTGCTTGTTTTTTCTGGGATGGCTTGGTCTTGGGTGATGCAGCCCATTTCTTGGTAGACAATTTCAAACGAATTGGCGGACTTGGTGCTGGGACTTCATCAAGAGGTGATTCTTCCTTTGAGGTGACATTCATATCTGAATTGGTAGCTGTCAAAGTGCGAGTCATATATCCCGTTGTTGTGATTGAGGGAGTGCCCAACTGGGCAGGGCACAAATCAGCCATATTGTTGCTGTGTGATTTAGGAAAGTCCGTGAATCAATACAGAGAAGAAAGAATTAGATAAGATGCTTAAGATTGCAATAGGGTGGAAGAATTGCATGAAAACATGAAAGTGAAGACTTGTATACCACGTTTGGGTTGAGCATCTCTGACTATTTGTGCAACCTTGTCCCTTGGCAGGCTTGTCTGAATGGGGATCATGGGTGATTGATATGCATCCAATCAAGCATGGTCTGCTTGTTGACGCCTGCCGAATCTGGGTCAAACATACTTTGAGTAATTCACGCAGAGTATATGAGAATCAAACTATGGAAGGCAGATAACAACTTTTTTTCAGGAACACTCATGGATAATTCTACAAGGCTTGTCTTTGATCTCAAATTGTCTACTTCTTTGATAGAATTTAACATTGTTGTGACGGCTTATATTTTGGGGTGGTGGGTTTTTGAGTTGCCAAATTGTGTGTTTGTTGGTATGATAATTAATTGATGTCTCATATACCTATTGTACTTCTAGTCAGCATGACATCATGTGCATTGGTGTATATTGTATGAAATCTTTTCAAATCAGAGGAGATAAATAAAGAGCAATCTGTTGAGGGATTCTAATTCAGTGTTATATTGGCTTCTAATTCAAGTAATGTATATGAGACAATAGATCTCAAGAGGCCTATCAAGAAGGAACAACTGGAAAATAAGGTATCAAAAGCACGGTTCCAACCAGCATGATCATCCACTTTTTCCTGATATATCCCAAAAATATCTTTTCAGCATAATGTCCACCACCACTCTAGCTCAAACTCGTATTTTCCTACCAAATTATATACTCGAATATGCTGTCAATGATCAAAATAATTAAAGAATTGATCTTAATCTGTTTTTAAGCAAAGCAAGTACTTCACAAATTGTGGAAGTGATCATTCCGTTTTATCCTCATCTCCGTTTTACTGAAAATGCACAACAAGATCACAAATTGCTCCTCACGGTCTTTGTCAAAATGATTGCCCCACGTCTATCAATCATAATCATCCCTGTAAATCGCAACACCAACTATCTTCAAGCTATGCAGACACCCCAATTCACCAACTGCAACCGTTGACCAGATGGGTGAACTCCAGCTCAGATATTGACACTAGAAGGATTGAGCGCTTTGAAAAATTCTGTCTTCCAAACCTCAAGACTGGTTGGTACCGCCTTGCTGCCAATGATCTCGTGGATTTTGTCAAGGATCATAAGCACCTCCAGCAAGTGGAGATTGATAAAATTTTCTTTCTTCAAGATGATGCTCAAGATGTTGTTCACAATGCTACATCTAACCTTCAAAGCACCCAAGAGTCAGTTGAGATGAATCAGCTTCAGATTTGCAATCCCAACCTCTCAGCAACCATACACCAAGACCTTGCTTGAGGAGCAATCAAAATCTGTGAACACTTTGTTAATTTCCCATCAGAAGGTGTGCAATGATGCTATTAAGGATGCTGCTATTCTTCAGGCCTTGGCAAGACATCATATTTGAGTTTTAAAATTACAAGTTTTTGTTTGAAGGTGCTTTGAATTTATATATCAATAATTCAAATCTCACTCAAGATTAATACTTGTCACATACTTCAAGCATCAATGGCTACATCAAAGTTCTTCATTCAGACTTCACTCATATTGTTTTTTTGACTTAGTTAGCTTGATAATCAGAGGATACCTATGCTACATCCAGAGTATTCATTCAGACTTCAATTGTAATTTTTCCTTGATTTGATGATCCTTTTTTCAATCGCCTGTTATAAATATTACATATGAGTAGTACCAACACATGATCGCCACAAGTAGGCATACATACCTGTGAACTTCACCAGAGCGACCCAGATTGTGAGACATATTGAAATTCTTCATCTCAGCCCGTATTGCTATTACTGTAGTTGTTTTGTTGTGCGCCACTATCGTCAACTAACATGTCATAGAGCGTGGTAGTATATTATGAATTGTTTGTCTAGAATATTAATATTAGATCCTGAATGTGGCTTTCCACAATTTTTTTGATGCTTTCCACATAATTTCATTTCTTATATCTGGCTGGTGGATGTGATGATAAGTGAGATAACTATCTATTTAAATGAATCATTAGCTTGTGACACTATAGTCTTAGCAGCCCTCTTTCACACTGGTGTATGGAATGCAAAAATGTGATACATCGAGGGCGCGTTCACTTAAGGAAATTCTGACCAGAAATCACATTCTGTTATTTGTGGAATGCAAAAAGGCACCAAATAGACATTTGAAATTTGCAGAATGTGGTTTCTCCCCAGAAGTTGCTCAAGGGCATGCACCCCAGGTGTTTAGGTTTGTGTGTTTTATTTTCTTTATTGATCATTTATATACAAAGTTTTATATGAAGAGATATTTTGATTCTGAAGAAATCTTCTTTTTTGAATTTTTATATGAACCAATTAAAGGAAAAAGCAAAAAGGAGATAAATGGAGAAAGAAAAAAGAGTGATGTGACGGATGAGTGTGTTTGTTTCTCTTTGGTTTCATATCACAGCGTGATTCACCCAATCTTCAAAGTCAAACTGCCAACAGACCTCCTCCAAGTTCAACCAACACATCAGATGAATCTGAGTTTTTGAATTTTTACAACAAGGTAGTCACTTCATGCAAGCTTAACAAAATCGAGCAATATCTTCAAGGTATTGGCCCTATGATCTTCCCTGATATGAGCAATCCTCAATATGCTCTGGATTGGTGGAAAGTAAGTAACCAATTCTCTCATCCTTCTTCAATCTTTACTTTTATACTTTACTTATCTGGTGTGATTGATCTGCAGACCTATGCTGGCAAATAACCAGTATTATCAATATTGGCTCAAGATTATCTGGGGACACCTGCAGCCGCAGCTGCACCCAAGCAATTGTTCTCAATTTCTGGTTGAGTCTGCAGAGCTGAACATGGTGGATTGGTTCCTTGAATGATCAAGATGACGGTCAGTGGTCAAATCTGCGTGATGAAGGGGTTCCTTTTACTGGAAATTTTAGTGAAGGCGGCAAGGTTTAAGAATATGGAAAGAAGGCAGTCAAAAAGAAAACTAGACAGTCTCACTTTTAGGGTTTCCATTCAACTTTTGGAATTCAACTTCGTTTTATTTTATTTTATTTCCTTTACGCTCTTTCAGACTGTTTTACTACCTCTTGTATAGCTTTCTTGACGCTCATTTATATCTCTTTTATCAATCAATTTCATTCTGTTTTCAAAAAAGAACACTGCTTATTTGCCTGGAGCCCCAAAGTGCAAGTTTTGCTTTTGATAGTGATTTTCAGGTGAGATGTTTTAGCTGCCCTTACAGTTGCCACACTTGAGGGACCCAAAATTCAGCTGCGCTGCCCAAAATGCGGTTGGCAGCGCTGCAAGCCAGCGTTTTTTGAATAATAAAAATTGCAATTCATGAATTGGATAGGTACCACATGGATATGTCCATATTGTACCAAATCAGTGAAGCAAAGTGAAACCAAGCAACCAAAGTAAGGAAGCAAATCCCTCCATAGCACTCTACCCAATCTTCAAACTCATCAGGTCTTTCTGCAAAGATATATTGATGGTGTTGGGGGGATTGTTTCTTTGATTTATGCTCATTTGAGTTAATTTCAAGCGAGTCTCAATATTTCTAATGGCCAAGTTGATAATGATGACAAATAGCCTACAGTTGTTATCACCAAAGCCCTCTGACTGTCTCCCCGCAAGAAGATTCCGGGCAGTTGACCCGGTACTTTGGTATTTTTTATGGCATGATATTTCTTGAAAAGCCCATTTTTAAACTGTTCAGGTGTAGAGGAACCAAGAAATGGTACTCATGAGCCTGTACAGTAACTTTTGCAAAAAGAACTTGATCTAAAACCCCAACCAGTTGGACCACGGGCTGATTTGAGCCTGATGCACGCGTAATACTGGCAGATTTCATGGCTTTACATAGGTAGCTATGTACTTAACATCATAGTTAAGTCAGATATATGGCAGAAAAATACACAAAACAATCCAATAGTTTGGTCAAAATTGGTGAACACCCTCAAATTTTGAATGTTTTTGGTGACAGTGGGTGTTATTTGAACCCCTTGACCAGTCAGACCGGGGCCGGCCCCGGCCAAACCAGTCAGAGAGCTTTGGTGATAACAACTGTAGAAGTCAAGTGGAAATGCAACCTTAAGAAATTCATTTGTCTAGAATTGATATTGTTTGCATTTCAAAAAACACTTCATGTGCATCATCTCATCCTTGTTCATTTTGATATCTCTAGAAACTGAATTGGGCAAGTTATGGTGTCCCTGATGAGCGACCGAGGACCACCTTATGTGCTATGCGCTATGCACAACCAAGGGACAGCTTATGCACTATGTGTAGTGCACTACATGTGTATGTAGTTTGACTGATGTTGTTCACAACCGGTCAATTTTAGAATCTCGAATTTCATCATTGATCAACTCATGAGACCTCACCTCACCTCATCACCAATCGATCTCATATCAACATCACAGCATTCAACAACTCAGATCACAACTCTTAGTTTCAAGTTTTGAGGATCTCAATTCGGTTAGAAATCAGAACCTCGTTAACAAGGATCTCAATTCGGTTAGAAATGGGAACCTGTTAAATTTGAGGGTCCCAGTTTGGTTAGAAATGGGAACCTCATCAAATTTGGAGGATCTCCGTTTGGTTAGAAATGAAAACCTTGCTAAGAGTTGCTAGGCACATCTAAATCAATGTTCTACAAAATCCAACACAGCATGTTTTCAATACCAATACAAACAAACACCCCACCTGCTATTCATTTGCTCTCCATGCAAAAACCAGCCCATCACCTTTCACTCACGATTCTGAACACCCCTCCTCACACCCTAACTCGCGCCACAGCTCTGTCATCAATCTCTGTGCTTGCCTGTGTTATAACCTAACCAGTGGTCGAAGGGGCCATTTCATTCAAACTTTCGCCAACATCATTCTAATTCACTCAATTATTCCTGAAACTGGCTCTTAAGAGAATTAATCAATCAGAAAAAATACCTCCTGTTGTCAAGTATGTATTT